CTCAAAACGGAGTGTGACATAGATTAAATACATAATCCGTCAGCAAAAAAAAAACACATAATCCTAATCAGGCTCATTCTCCGGGGTCTTCTTTTGTCTATTAACCCACAATATGAAAATCACTTTTCTTACATCAAAGGCCAACGTTCATGGCAACATATACTCGACAAAAACTACTCTTACAAATATGAAAAAAAAGGAACAAATGAATGTTTACAAAACTAAAGTTAAACCATAGGATCCCGCCAAACCAGGACCCGCTTTCCCATTTACTCTTTGGTAACTGACTGAAATGACACCCCAGTCTTTTACCAACTACCCATCTGCTCTTTGTTTCAAATAAATTAAATTACTTAAGATTTTTCCCAAATTATACGCGTATTATTACCGTTTAGACAAGTGCTTTTAATATATATCGTGTGAATGATATAAACTACATATAATTGATAAATAAACACATATCCTAACAAGATAGTTATAAATTTACAAGGGAACCCTTATACAACACTTTGGTACTAATAACAAAGTAACCTCCAGCAATAATTTTGAAGGCCCTTTCTCAAAACTTTATATATATCTAGCAATAAAAATTAGAAATAAACCTGTAATTATGAATATTTTTTTGCTATGTTGAGCAAGTGAATTGCATAGTTTTCAGGTACTTGAGAGATATAGGACTATAATAATTTAGTGATATGTACTAGTGTTAAACTCCATAAAACCGGCATCTTAGTGCCTAACAGAAAACGTGAGCACATCAGACTCTCGGAAACCCCCAAGAGTCCTTTTTCACGAAACAAAAATATGATAGTAGTGAAGGTTTGAGAAAACTCTCATTAAAGCTGATTTAATCATTCTATTTAAAGATAAAACTAAGTATATATGACTAAAGTCTTTTATAAACAGGACTCATGGCTAGTAACAGACCATTAAATGTATACCATGAATGATTACCAAATACGAGTGGGAAAACCTAAAAATCAAGACTTACGCAAATAAGGCCAATCACGACGATGATGTTTTTCAAACATTTGCCTATATCTACATATACGAATCATTTTCAGTAGTGTTAAAAGATAAAAAAAAAATAACAAAAACCTACATTTTGATGTAAAGAAAAAAAAAATGTTGAAATCAAAACGAAGAGAGAGATTGAAAAGACAAGTCAAACGTCAAATCGAACCACTTCCTTATCATACGACTGTCAGTGCCCTTCTGTGTAGTCATTCTTTTTCTCTTATTTTCCCTTACTTTCTTTTACCCTAAATTACCAAACAAAGAGAGAAATAGCAATTATTCAAATAGCTTGTTTTAAAATAAAAATAAATGGAAAAAGATAAAATATCCTCTTGCTCGTGCGTCTCTGAGCACACGAGGTGGATATACATCGAGAAATATATAGTTCGTACAAGATAAAATAGTTGTAGAAAAAATAATCCAGTCATCTCTACAAAAATTGCTATAAAAGATAAAATACAACAAAATAAACTTTTTTCTTAGGGTCATATATTGTTACCAATAAAATAATGTATTTCCTAAGATTTATAATTTAGATAAAGTATAAAGACTAAACAAATTAAAGAATTCTCTACCGGTTAGTTGAAATTTTTTGTTTGTAGTAGTAATACAGTGAAATCTTTATAAATTAATAATGTTGAGACTACACCAAATTTTTTTTTTATTATTAATTTAGAGAGATAGTAATTTATAGATATACTAATTGAATTAAAAATTTAATTTGGAACTATGAAATTATATTAGTTTATAGAGATATTTAGTGTACATTAATTTATCGAGTATTAATTTAGAGAGGTTCTACTGTAATAATAACAAGTAAAACCCAACAAACGGACCCTACGATCCGGCCGACACGCTTCTGCATGTCCATTCTCCACTCTCTCCCATCTATTTCTAATGTCTTTTAGAAAAATATTATTGTCCAAAGAAAAAGAAAAATATTATTAATTACTTTTAGTTATAGAAGAGTGAATTTAATTTTGATTGGTCCATTTTGTCAAACACAAGATTCTCAACCGGTGAATATATGGGTTCGGACCACGACTGCACCATAATCAGAGCTACATCTCTCCTTCTGTGGTTACTGGTTGGACGTTTCATATTAATTTCGATCTTCACCTGATTGATTTGATTCTTCGTATTTTACACGAATAATGAATAGCCTTGTCTTACTTCTATGATTACTAGTATTTTCACCAGAGTAGCGTGGGTACGTTAAATACATATACAACCGATATTTATAAACTTCAATCAAACAAATAGTAATAATTTGCTTAACCATTTTGCCATTTTTGGGTAATCTTTTCTTTTTTTTTGAGAAAGAATTTTTGGGGATAAAGTTGCTGGTGGGGATATAACAAAAGGTACCAGAAAAGTTTATGATGAAATTTTGGGTGTTTATACTAATTTACATTTTAAGATATGTTCATTTTGTAAGTAAATAAATAAAACATGTTTGATAAAATTAATATTTAACAAAAAAATATAATATAAAACCAAAAACATCACACATTGTTTCAATCATGATTTACCACTATAAATGAGGTAAATTGTTAAAGATGGCTTTTCCATAGAGATTAGTCTTATTTTGGTTTGAGATTAGCTAAAAAAACAAATTTAAATAAGAAAAGAAAATTGTAGAGAGGGGTGAGTGAGGGAAATAATATCACTAAAAGACAGTTTCATGTTTTTAATATCATAAAAAGGCAGTTTATGCTACTAATGTAGTTTGTCAACACTTTTCCCACTTTGTTCCTTAATTATCAACAATTTAGTTAGCTCCCCCGTAACTAGACAATTGGTTTAATCGGGAATCAACCTCAGCCCTTCATCTCTTTTTCATCCAACGTTCTAGATTTATTCTCAGAAAGTAAGATTAGACATATATCTGTCTCTTTTTTGAACCATTGGATTAGATACACAGAATTCTTCAACGGTTGAGATTATCTTGTTTGATAAAGTCTTCTTCTCAGCTCCCTTTCCAATTTTGTTACGGATCTTATGAAATTCTCCACCCGAAGTCGATTTCTTTACAGATTCTAAACAAAGGTTTATTTTCTAACTCTCAATTAACCTAATCTTTCATCCATTAATCTATTTTCTTATTATTCTCCAGATTACCATGGTCGACCATTGCATGGTCATCCTCAGAGAATGGACCACCTCAGGCTCTCTCTGGGAATTTGACATCGACAAAAAAAAATGGTGTACAAACGTCATTTTAAATGGCAGTTGTAAATCGGTGTACAGACGGCTTATACAAACGTCTAGTATGTGGACACGAGCGAGACAAAAATCTTGAGATTAAGTTGGGCTAGTTTGTGTACTTATATGTTGCAGTGGTTATTGTTGGTGTGTACATTGGGGGTGTACAGTTGCGATTGTATTTGTGTCCAGTATCATGTACATAGTGTACATGTGTACATGAAAATGGTGTACAGATGAGAACGTGTCGACATTAAGTAGCTTGTGTACACATATTTGGTCATGCACATGTGCATGCGTGTGAGAATCATACATATGGACATTAAAATCATATGAGGATGTGTACATGGAAATAATGAATGTATATATGTACACTATATGTGTAGTTAAGAACAACACAATTTCACATGACGTCATGTAAATGGAAGGTGTAAAATGGTGTACAGACGACTTGTACAAATGTCCAGTATGTGGAGAGGAGAAAGACAACATGTCGAGATTAGGTAGAGCTATATTGTGGACATATATGTTGGAGTGATTATTGTTGACGTGTACATTGAGGGGTGTACAGTTCCGATGGTCAGCCGGCAACAAATCCGTTATTTGGTATGCCGTCGTCTCCGCCATTCTTTACAATTTTTTTTTAACAAGACCTAATCATCAGAACAATTAAGATCCTTTAATCCTCTACAGTATATTAAACGGAGCCAAAAAAAAACTCACCACCGTCGATATCCTTCCCACGCTTGCTTCTTCTCCTAGCCATCACTTGTTTTCTCTCTCCACTGTCCTGAATCGCCGTACCCAATGACCTAGATACTAAATCGCCTTTCTCCCACCTCGGTTTCCGTCACAGCGCAAAAAGAAAAATGAAAGCGAGAAGATGAAAAGTCTGGTTTCTATGTTTTAACAGAAAAAGAATTGACTTTCTTTTGACCCTCAACGAAGTTTGAAATTTGAAAAATGAAAAAGAAACAAGATAGCCCAACTAAAACACTAAACGGTTTGCGTTTAGTTGAGGGCAAATTATGTCTTTTCATACAAAAATTGTTCCACCCACAAGAACTGTCTTTTTATGATATAAAAACTTAACAACTGTCTTTTTATGAAATAAATTCAGAGTGAGATGGTGAGGATTGGTCCAACGGTCAAACAGAAAACCATCAAATCAGATTTCACTACAGTTAGAAAATTTATTTCCTTCTGTCTTTTAACTTAATTAGGTCTATGTTTTTATCACTCACCTTCCTCTCATTTTTACCATTTTATCCCATCTCCATGCGACCATGCACATATCCTTACATAACATACATACAGGTGCACATAACTTACATAACATACATACAGGTACACATATGTATGCATCCGTGATGTTGCTCAGGCTCTCACATGTTCTGTATCAAGCCAAAAAGACAATTGCCGAGGATCTTGGTTTTATTATATTATCCTACTCAATACATACTTCTTGTTTTGGAAATTTAATGTTTGATAAAATTAAGTAGGATTATGATAACTCGGATGCTAATGATGTTTAATCTAATTAATTATATAGTTTTCTCGATTCTTTTATTCGATTAGTAGATTTGGCCCACCCTATATTCTCTTTTCCTCTTAATAATTATTTGCCTCTTTTGGTAACCAAATCACCAAAATTCCCTATTAACTAACGCTTTAACCATCTTTGTAATCGCTACCAAGATACAACAGTTAATTGTTTTTTTTACCATCGCAGTTTAAATATGTGAGCCTCCCGGTTCATTTATTCAAATCCATTATTTTTCCTCTCTTATCTGGCCAAAAAATATCTAACACCACAAAACAAATAAAAGAATCATTATCTCTCTTCTTTCTCTTTCTCTCAGAGACTAGCAAGAAAGCTTCAAAAGATGAAAGCTTAACCTTTTCTCCCTAGAAAAATATTCTCCTTTTTCAGAAACAAAAATAATCCATAACTTCATCCTCTTGTTACCCAACAAAATCAATCAAAGGAGGCAACAAAATTTTTGTTATTTTTCTTTGCTAAACCCTAACTTTTTTTTTTATAAAGAGAGTACTAGAGGAAAAAAACAATGAGCAGCCTTGAGGAATCCCTGAGATCTATGTCGTTGGATTTTCTAAACCTTTTAATCAACGGTCAAGCTTTCTCCGACGTAACTTTCAGCGTGGAGGGTCGTCTAGTCCACGCCCACCGTTGCATCCTCGCCGCTCGGAGCCTCTTCTTCCGCAAGTTCTTCTGTGGAACCGACCAACCACAGTCCGGCATAGACCCGACCCGACATGGGTCAGTACCCGCTAGCCCAACAAGAGGCTCCCAGGCTCCAGCTGGAGTCATACCAGTGAACTCAGTAGGTTACGAGGTGTTTCTGTTGCTGCTTCAGTTTCTTTACAGCGGACAAGTCTCCATCGTGCCGCAGAAACATGAGCCGAGACCGAACTGTGGAGAAAGAGGATGTTGGCACACGCATTGCTCAGCCGCCGTGGATCTTGCTCTTGATACTCTCGCCGCCTCTCGTTACTTCGGCGTCGAGCAGCTCGCCTTGCTCACTCAGGTCTCTCTCTCTGACTTCATTTCTCCATGCATATCTTAAGGAAAAACATGTCTCCATGCTTTCTTGATGTTCTGCTCCTATTAGAGTTTTGTCTTTGATGAATTTTTGACTTATAATTTTTATAATTTCAAAACCCTTTTCCATTATATGTATATATGAGTATACGTTTTTTTTTTATGTTAAATTATATGTTTTGTTGTTTTGATTTCATGTGTAAATGAATTTATTCTCTTGCAAATAAACCATTTTCTTGTTGCAAGGAATAGCATTTTCCTAAAGTAGAAACTATGAAGAACTGTAGTTAGTTGAATCTATTCACTTCTTTAGTCTTAATTTCTTATCCAACCTCAAATTTTCCTCATTTGGAGTTTTGATGATAAATCCATATATAACGAATGAAACCTACTCCACCATCAAAACAACCATCTGAGAAAAATGCAAAAAAATTAAAATACAAAAACATAACCTAAAAAGGGAATTTTATACCCACTTGCTTATTAATGTCGGCTCATTGGATTTAACACTAATCAATATACTATTTGTATTATTGGCAGAAACAACTAGCAAGCATGGTGGAGAAAGCATCAATAGAAGATGTGATGAAAGTGTTAATAGCATCAAGAAAACAAGACATGCATCAACTATGGACAACTTGCTCTCACTTAGTTGCCAAGTCAGGTCTCCCACCGGAGATTCTTGCCAAACATCTCACCATAGATGTTGTCGCCAAGATTGAAGAGCTACGTCTCAAATCTTCAATAGCTCGCCGTTCTCTAATGCCACATCACCACCACCATGATCTCACCGTGGCTCAAGACCTAGAAGATCAAAAGATTAGAAGGATGAGACGTGCCTTGGATTCATCAGATGTTGAGCTAGTGAAGCTAATGGTAATGGGAGAAGGGCTTAATCTTGATGAGTCTTTAGCATTGCATTACGCTGTTGAAAGCTGTAGTAGAGAAGTTGTCAAGGCTTTGCTTGAACTTGGAGCAGCCGATGTGAACTACCCGGCAGGTCCAGCAGGGAAAACACCGTTGCATGTTGCGGCTGAAATGGTCTCTCCCGACATGGTGGCTGTTCTGTTGGACCACCATGCTGATCCTAATGTTCGGACCGTAGGTGGAATCACTCCTCTTGATATCCTTAGGACGTTAACTTCGGATTTCTTGTTCAAGGGGGCAGTTCCTGGATTGACTCACATTGAACCTAACAAGCTTAGGCTTTGCTTAGAGCTTGTTCAGTCAGCTGCGATGGTGATATCTCGAGAAGAAGGAAACAATAGCAACAACAACAATAATGATTACAACAACCAGAGTTACCCTCAGATGAATGAGGAGCACAACAGTGGAAGTAGTGGAGGAAGTAATAACAATTTGGATTCAAGGTTGGTGTATCTCAATCTTGGAGCAGGTGCGGGTCAGATGGGTCCGGGTCGGGATCATGGAGAAGACCAAAACAGTCAGAGGGAAGGTATGAGTCGGCATAATCATCATCATGACCCGTCTACAATGTATCATCACCATCATCAACATCACTACTAGTTCTCTATTTCTTGGCCATTAAGTCGCATGATATATTTATTAATTTAGCTCTTGTATCTTCTATATATATTTTTGTATATGGAAATGAAGACATAAGGAGAGTATGAAGAAGAGTAACATGGATGAACATGCGTTATATATTTGAAAGACTTAGGGTTATTTAATCTCGTAGTTCTCCAGAGTTGTATTGACTAGTCATTGAATAATTTTGCTATCAGATCTTTCTATACTAATCTCTCGCTATTTTTTTGTGCATGCATATTAAGATATTATTTTGGAACCACTTACAAAATTATCTAACATTATCATAGTAACTTCAAAAGATGTTCAAACCAGTTAAGAAATTGTCAAAAATGAAAACATATCATAATAATAATTCCGTATCATTTTATTTTATACTTGATTCGAGACTGTCTTTTAATTGAAGTTTTTGTATGTATTTGCATTAGCATTGTTTTATGGGAATTGGCATGTGTATGTAAATATAACCATATTGTAAGACACAACAAAAGTATATCACTCTTTTAGTTCTTTTCATCCCTGAGAAAAGTTTATCTAATTTTTAATGATTTGTTGTGTGGCTGACTATCCATCGCCGTATGAGATGGTATGCCCACATGGAATATCCCTTGAATTATCACTTCTTTAATTTTTTGGGACGTGTATGTGTTAATCATAAAACAAATACATATGAGAAAGCAATTTGTACCATTAGAAAATAATTGTCGATAAAGTTATCCTCCATTTCTTATTTAATCATATTTTCAAAAGTAGGAATGTGAGATGATATATTGTTATTTACAATGTTCCGGTGGGAGACCATCTGTAATTCTTCTAGTAAACTTGGGATCTTCAACCCGTTGAACCAACGCTATCGGTTGTTCAATCCATTCTTTTAACGTATTAAAAATATATATAAATTATAAATTAGAGAAACACAAGTTATCATTGGTATAGAAAAAGAACATTATGTTTCATGCATGTATACTTAAGATAAAACCATTGATACAAACGTTTAGTCCAGCAAAGATAGCTCTACTTTTTTCGTTAAAACATATATTCTTCTGTTTTCTGGCATTTCATCCATAAAATCTGATAAAAAAGAGTAGTGAAAGTTCAATCAGGGAAGATTACAATGAAACATCCAGCATAGTTGTATGCATATATTCATAAATAAAGGAGAGATTTAAGAACTTTAATAATGAGGATGTGAACTGATTGGGAAACTTAGAATGGAAGCAATCAGTTTTTCATCTCTAACTTAAAATTTGAAACATCAAATCCATTTTCGTGTAAAGATTAACACGAGAATGGGACATTACATGACCAAACACCTTTGATCATATAAAAACACGCAGACGCAAACGCATATATATATAAATTATTATGAAGGAAAATAAGAGAAAAACAAATAAAAAGTAGAAAAGCCAATATTTATGGGAGTGTCAATGTCATCTCTACAATGTAGAGCCCAATCAATCCGATCGATCTAGTGTCTTCGGTCAGTGTTCCTTTCATGCTTCGCTTTCATGACCAATAAAACATTTTCTTGGCTGTATATTATTACAAGAATTGAAAAAAAAAAACGATAAATGTTAAAAAGTATAAAACCATTTGAAAGGTTGCTTTCAAGAGTAATTTGTAACTTTTGTGGGAGATTGTTTTTTTTTGCAATGTGAAAATTGCGCAGTAAATTAATTTTTGTTTGATAATATGTTTGTACCGATATGAGTTAACTTATATGTATACAGTACTTACAACACTTTATTGGTTATTCACGCTACCTTGTCCCTCACGGTATCACAACTAAGAAAGCAGAGAATTTTAGTGCAAGTATATTGAACCAAAGTCAACATAAATATCATATAACTCTCATCACCTTAACATTTATTCATTTAGACTCAAAACACACAATATCCAAGGCAGATTGTAATACTTCTTCTAAATACTTTTCCGCGGCTGCAAACTGTCTCTTCTTGTCCTCGATTGCTAGAGCAGTTAGAGCTTTATCCTGTTCAAAGAAATGAGAAAGCAATCTACTGTGAACCAAGACTAGCAACGACCATAACAAAGAGGAGACTGATATGATTTTAATCAAATATTTGGATGAACCAGAGATGCATCAGCCTTTTTTTTTTTGGATTCAAAAGAAAAATATAGAAGGATTACCGGAGGCAAGTCCTGGTAGCTTCTTAGAGTATCAATGACAGGTTTTGTCATCTTCTCCAATTCCTTCTTGTGTTCTGCCATTTCCACCAGTTCTCTGTGGCTAATCTTAGTACTGTAGCCAGCTCTCTTCTAACTGTGCAAGGATTCTGTATAACCACAACACAAAATAAAAGTAAAATCACCGCTGAGATCACAATCAAATCCATCAATCACAAATCTCATTTCTTCAAATAAGTCAGCCTCTGAATCGCTTTCCTAGTATAATCAAGAAGCACATCAGACTCCTTCTGCGCTTTACCCCTTTTCTCCTCCACACCAATCTTCCTCAAAGAAACATCTCCCAACGAAACAAAGAAACTACACACAAAACATTTCTTGTGACATCAGTTCGAAATCGCCAACACACAATAACAAACTCACCTACTCATCTCAGTGTCTCTTATGTTCAACAAACTCGCCACATTTTGCAAGAACCTGAGCTGAAGAGACCACATTTAACGGTAAACCCTCCTCTGCCATTCCTACACACTCCAATATCTCTCTAATCCGAGCCGCTACATCAGGATTAGTAACATTTATCAAATTGGTTTATCACATATATTTGGTATATTATGGTTCAAATTATTCTATAGATAAAAAAGTAAAATAAAATATAGTTATTAGAGAATGATTTAGCACATAAATACTACATAAATTTGGTCTATTATGGTTCAAATATTCTTAAAGACTATAGTTGTTAGAGAAAGATTTAGCACATAAATATCACATAAATTTGGTCTACCATGGTTCAAATTATTCTTTAAGACAAATTGTTCAAATTACCACATAAAAATAAAATAATGATGAAATTTCTTTTTCTTAAAGAATATAGTTGTTAGAAAATTGATTTTATCACATAATTTTGGTCTATTATGGTTTAAATTATTCTGAAATAATCAGAGGTTGCTTCGAGTTCGAGGTAGCTAGACTATATAGAAAACCAGTTGATTGGCTGTATCACCTCTATATCATCATCATACATTGATTTACACAAGAAGCACACAGAGTTTACAGCTTTTTGACATCAAGACATGTGATACATATTGCCACATACAAAGAAAGAGATAAAAATTCAAACAAAAACTAGATTACCAAACGCATCGGTATGAAACATGAGACTCACTGCCCTCTCCCTTGTATGTGACCTCCACAACTTGCCCTTTCTCTAGTCCGTAGTATCTCGCTGTCGGGTCTTTTTTTAATAACTTTGGAAGCTAATAAAAGCGAAAAAAACATATTAAAAAAAATGTTTAAACTTAAAGAAAGCTGGCTCGGAGTTCCTTAGCTAGCAATGATCCAAATATAAGAAAACATTTCTTACTTGTTGCTCCTCAATACTGAACTTCTTGAGGAGTGATTCCTTTTCTTGATCATTCAGAACCCGATGTTTTGGCCTCAAAACATGTTTGGTTATGTTAACCAGCAATTCGTTTAACTAACAACAAAAAAGGCACAAACCAAGTGTTACAAATCTACCAGGAATTAAGTCAAAGCAACTGATCATTAATTAAACAAAATATCAAGATAAACATACCTGGAATAACTCGACTTTGAATGAGAAAAGTTCAACGGCTTTTAGAGCTTGACTTGTTATATCACTTGACAGAACCAATATCAGCCCGGTTAAACTTTCTCGACCAAGTACATCAGCTGCGATCTCCCGTATGGCATTGACTTTAATTATACCACTTCCGCAAAACACAACTACAATCTAAAATTCAAATGTTTCATCAACATGCAGAGAAATAAATTAACCACCAAAAAAAAACCGAAATCACATTCTGCATGGCATTCGAGTTTAACCTTTTTGGAAGAATCAGAACAATGTTGAGCTGAGATACGGAGTCTATCTACGTTGGGACGTTCACCGTAGAGCGCTCGAAACTCCTGTAAAGTGAGGTTAATGTCTTCATTTAAGACATCATATCCTCTGTCTCGGAGCATCTCCATGGTGGTTCGACGAGCTAGGTAATAGCTGTGACTATCCACTCTTGTGTCATCAAGGGACTTGCTAAGACCAGAGCCAACCGCTAACTCCTTACCTTTACCCTCCATCGTCTCTCTCTCTATCTCACGGGGAAGTAAAAAAAGCATGCAAGCTTGAATATAGTGAAGGACTTTTTGCAGACGGCATATGATGTTTTGTTGTTTTCACTGTGACAGCGAATGAAGTTTGCTACAGAGTTTTAGTGGTAGCCAATGAGCAAGCAGGTGATGTAGTCAAAGGTGAGTAAAGTGTAGCTTTAGTGCTTCTTATTAATGGCATTGGTTTTGGGAAACTCAGTAAAAAAATTTGGTTCAAGATTAATAGCCTTGTTTTATATAAAAATAGTACATTTTTGTTACATGCAAATACAAAGATTAATGAAGGCATGTTTCCCTTGTTCTGATGAATTTCTTGGGGACAGATTTTTTTATACCTTCTCCTTGGTTGTCAAGTTTATTAAGTGAATGATTTCAAAACAATGTCATATCTTTTTTGTAACACTATTTTTGTGATGAATAAATTTTACATTTATTCAAAAAAAAAAAAGGTTTATTAAGTGTTGCCAGTTGTATCATTGTTGGTGACACTTCTTCATTTTGTCTATATGTTAAGTTGTAAGTTTCCAACTGATTTTGGGTTCATTGTCATTATCTTTAATCTAGAATTTTAGTTAATCTCGGTCTTAGTTTAAAATTTTCAAAATTTTCATTTTGGATTTTAGATTTTGGTTTAAATTTTTTTTGGTGAAGTATTGTATTTCACTAACATACGAAAAATACAAACATCAATGTGAAAAAAGCATTGGAGGCCTAAAAAAAATAGATTTGAGCCTTAAAACCATTTCCTATATCAATGTACAAAAACACAACCAATTCATTCAAAAGAACACAACCAACCAAAGCATATCTCAACTCACAAGTATACCTCTAAACATTTTTCTTCTCTTCACATCAACAACAATAACAAAAAAAAAATCCAATCACTAGAGACAACATTCGTTACAACGCACCAATCCATTCTCATTGCATCCACTACATCTCTTAAACCCATCTTCTTGTTCCTCAAACACTTTAGTACTACCACCACAACTACCACACGGAACAAACCTTGCATCCCCACAGCACTCACAAGCTCCCACTGATTCACAAACAGGAAACCCTCTTAACATCTCTCCCAATTCACCTCCATCATTGAGTTTCTTGATCTCCTCAACACCACCAATGTGGATACCTCTTATGAACACTTGAGGCAAACAAACCGGTTTCTCTTCGCCGAGTAAAATCTGAACCTCTTTTCTATATTCAGAGTCCATTGAGATGTCACGTTCCTCGACCGCAACTTGAAACCCTCTCAACACCGTTCTCACGTAGCAACAATCCTCATAAGTTTTTCTAATTCCTCTGAGGCTAGTGAAGTACAATACTATTTTGTCTTTTTCTGTTTCAGACAATCTTGGTTTCTCTTGCTCTTCCAAAGACTCAGAACTCACTGGACTCAAAGAGACAACCGATTGATTAGACTGGCTGCAAGAGACTGGTTTAATGTTCTTGCCTAGCTGTCTAGAAGACAAAGCTCTCTTGTAAGATGAAATGATGTTAGGATCCAAGTCAGAGAGAAAAGATTCTTCAGCCATATGTTTCCACAGAGGCTGCTTTGGTTTAGAAGGCAATGGAATCCAATCTTCATCGTCGAGACCGTTCATGAGCTCCCATGTGTTGATCACTGAGTCAGGAGACAAGGACTCGTCTGGCTTAGCCGTCTTCTTACCGGGAACAGAGATATGAGGCAATGTTTCTCCGTGTAAAAGAGAACCGTAAGTGGTGGACGTGAGGGAGACAAAGTGGTGCGTGTCGCCTTTTTTAACCGGTGGATGATGAACCGACGGCATAGGGAATGAGAAAGGTCTCGGAACCGTCGTTGAGTTGAGTTTCTTCTCCGGTGGTGAATGTGACGCGGAGCAAGAAGAGTTGGAACAAGAAGACGAAGTGGTTTTAGAAGATTTAGAAGAAGAAGAGCCCATAACTATTGAAGCAGACAACAGAGGAAAGAAGAAGAACTAGTTTGTAAACACTATGTTCTTCTTCTGGGTGTTTTGTGCTTTTTCTCTTTGTCGGAGAATATAATAAAAAGAGAAAAACAGGTGGAAAGGAGCTGTCTATGTAAGTTGGAGGTGGAAGATGGTGAAAAACACTAAAGGAGAAGATGATGGCGTGATGTTGATTTCACGAGGGCAGATTTTGAATTTATTGGAGACAATTAAGAAAAGTATTTATTTGATCCTATTTTTTAGATGTTTATATTCAGAAAAAAAACATAAACTGTTGTTAACTGTCAAGATCCGAAAAAATTGCTTAACTTCTAAATTTGTACTAGGACCAAAGACTTTGCACTAACATACTTGTTTGAGAAAACTAGATAACATTGTATAGATAAACTAATCTACATAAACTTTATATAAGAAGTTGTATAATAAATTGAGCTCTTCATTAATACTTTATGTTATATATGGGAGAATAATCAGGAAACTGAATTGCACAAGGTACACTCATTGACGATTCTTTTGGTACTTTTGCCTTTGCCTTTTTAAAAAGAGAAGTATTAAAGAAAATAAAATAATAACTAAAATAATGAAAAAGCAAGATGGGCAAAAAGATTAATAACTTATCCGTAAAGAAAGATCCAACGCGCTAAATCTGTTTATAATATTTAGTTAACTTCTTTGCTTATACCAAAAAAAATGTGAGACTTAAGTTTTAAAAAATGTGAGACTCGGTTAGATTATGACATGTATCTGACGCAATTGATCACTACAACCGCTCTCTAGGATCCTATCACTTTAAGTTTAAAAGCTAAAGCTATGAATACCATCATTGACCAGAGATGATGTACAAGTAGTTTCAGTCTTGTACTCCTTTGAGCATCTGAATAGTACACTACCAAATGTCCAGAACCAGCCTAATCTCAGCGAATGTAACCCAAAAGGAAAGAACATAGTTGAAACTCCCATATCATTAAATTAATCACACTATCAAGTAATCTAATTTTGGAAACAGAGACCAAGAAGCATAAACATCAAGAAACCCCGTAACTCTCTATACAAAAAGCTCAAGATTATTCTCTCAAATCATCAGAAGATGTACTTATCTATTAGATATATCAAATCCAACTTTACATCGATTAACATTTTACCAAAAAAAAAAAAAAAAACTTTACATCGAGCACACAATGACCTTATACACACCTCCTCTATTAACCAAAACCCTTTATATTCTAGGATTTTTGAGTAATTTCAAGACATATTTCATCACAATAAAAAAAACACATGAAAAAGAAACAATTCCCTAAAGTCACAAGAGAGCGCAATGGAAAAGAATGAAGAATCTTTAAACCGATCATCCGACATGGAAAATGGCTTATATCCCGCGGTTTCTGAGAGAAATGGCGATTTCATCAGCGAGACACAAACATGTGAAAATCCAGCCGCTTAGAGCAAACCACACCGTTTTCGTCAGATGCACCGCCACTTCCAACGGCATAGCCATTTCTAAAAAGGCTCGTCTATATAATCTTTCTGGCCTTAACGATTGATTTAGCTGAAGAGAATTAAACCACTGGAAACTGGAAGAAAGGTCTCAGGGAGGAGAGAAAATATGAAAGTATATTCCACGTGTGCCACATGCAGGGTCTTTTGAACAGTAGCACGTAGCCCATGTGTTGATAACAGCCGCGTCTCTTTCTGGCCAGCTTGGAGAGCGTTACCAAAACTAAATGTCATCTATGAGCTAGCCGACGAACCTAATTATTCAGATATTATTGGACTTATTTTGTATTTTTTGGACCACTTTTTTCCTTTAAATAATAGATTTAAAAATAAAACTAAATTTGTTCAAAAAAAATTTAAACTAAATTTGTTCAAAAAAAAATTAAAACTAAATTTCTTCAAAAAAAAATAAAACTAAATTAAACCATATCTGAAATGGGGCCGTAAATAAAGAAGAAGACCCAAACGGTTTCACACAATATGCAAAAAAAAAAAAATCAAAAAGGTGATTGTCCAATCGGAATCGGCCCGTTAGGTCATAGTGGGCTCGGAAGGCAACGGCCCGTTATCCTTCCACCGTCAAGAGCGGGAGGTGTACGCTGCTCTGTGAAACCAGCCTCACGCAATCTCCCCACACTATAGGAAACACGTGACCCGAGCCTTCGCTCAAGCCCCATGTCTCAACTCCCAACTTGGAATGGGCAGGCCATAATAAAGCCCAACCCGAACCCGGCCCAATAGTTCGGTCCAGCGTTCCATCACCTTATTGTCTCCACTTGGATCACAAGCCCACGCTACCGAGCTCGACGTTCACTTGTTGTTACGTTCTCTATTATATACAAGAAAGAAAACCTTCTTTTCCCCGATGTGGGATAAAACATAACTATTCTTATTGATAAGCTCCTCTTCGTGGAGTTTATTTCGAAAGATCTTAAAATGTGATCTCATCTGATCTTAGTGCTTGTGCTTATCAAAATCGTTAGAGGCTGCATTGAGATTATACTACTGATATACCTAATCTGATTTTCTAAGATTGTTCAACGTTTCTGAGTTGCTTTTTGAACTATGGTTCTTGAACTTACGTGTATAGGTTCAAAACGATCTAATCTCTACACTAGTTTGACTCTGTTCTTGCATTAAGTCTCCATCAAGGAACTGTTAATCAATAAAATCTCCTAAAAGTCTTTGTTGGTTTAAACTTGTGGGTTTTGCAAAACCCCATTACAGGAAGAAGAAGAAGAAGAAAAAAACGAGAAAGCTCAACTAATCTAATGACAAAACAAGAAAGCGTCCACTACTGTTCGCTCTCATATTGCTCCCACTCATACAGGGACCTTGTCGTTGCTCTTGCCTTTGAGGATCTTTGCTGGTTTACAGCCGTCTCATTACCTTAGCGAGAAGTGTTAGGAAAAAAATATATATATTAAGAGATGATAACAGGATTTGTGTATTGTGAGAAAAAAAGAAGGAGTTTTGGTACTTACCAGTATTTGGATTGTTCAAAGCTTCAGATTCAGCAGGACAATGACGTTTCACTCTTCCTGCTTGTTGCTGACCAAAGCTTGTACACATTCGCTTTGATTGTTTTTGCTCAAAGTCATTGCTTATATCTCCACGTTGCAGCGTCTCTACTGGGACGTTTAGTTGCGGCTGGTAATGTCCGTTTTGGTGTTGTGGCTGCGTCACTAGTTGTGCTGCTGAGTTGACATATGAGTCACCAGGTCCGTTATGTCCAATATAGTCTGCAAGCTCTCAAGTGTTAGAAGGTTCTAAAAGATGAGAAAGGTATAGCTATAATGGGAACAAGGTTTTGCTACATACCATGATTGTTCAAAGCTTCAGATTCAGGATAACCTCCTGCTTGTTGCTGCTGATCAACACGTTTACACATTTTCTTTGACTGCATTGTTTGCTGAGCTTCTACTACTTGGACGTTCTGTTCATCGGACTGCATCACTACTAGTGGTGCTGCTGATTCTGAGAAACTCGGTCCGTTATGTCCAATATTGCCTGCAAACGTCGAAAGGATATTAGCTATAACACAAAACCAAAATTTGTGTTGTGTGTGAAAAAGGGTTTTGCTACTACTTACCATTGTCTTGATTATTCAAACCTGCTTGTTGCTGATCAACGATTGTTATGTCAAAGTTATTACATAAGTATTCGTCAATGATATCTCCATTCTCCAGACCGTTGCTTTGGTATTGTTCATCAAAATGCATTAATGTATCCGCCACGTCATGGAAACTTGGTCCGTTATGTCCAATATGGACTCCAAGATCAAGTTCAGGAAGGTCGGCAACTGTTTGACAAAATAAGACATTCATGATAATTCTTTTAAGTAGATTGGTTAATGCAACGAGAAAGACAGAGAGTAAGGTGGAGTCTTCTCTTTACATGCAGGATCATTAAGTAGAAGAGACAAATCATCAGTATCTACTGGTGGAAATGTTGGAGCTCCAAGAGAGTTATCTACAATGAAAGATAGAAAATGAATCGTAAGTAAAATAGGTTGATACAGTGAGAAGAGAGTGAGTATTTTTACCAGTAAGTTCATTATATGTAGGCAATGAATACTGATGGGACTGATCTTGCTGATTATAAAGATCCGGCAACGGCGTCACTGCAAAGCATAGAGACAAAAGGAACTCTTAGAAGCTAGAAAGTTGAAGAAATTTTAATGTTCATTCACTGTATAATAATAGTAACAAGAGGCTTTACTTGATGGACCATTTGCAGTTGGCAATGGTAAGCTTGCTGTGTAAAGGTGTTGATCTTGCTGGTCATAAGGAATAGGCATCCGCATCACTGCAAAACATAGAGACAGAAGGGAACTCTTAGAGGTCAGAAAGTGCAAGAAATCGAGTTTTCGATCATTGTCAGGCTTTACCTGCTATAGCATTTGTAGCAGGCAATGGTAAGTTTGTAGCATAAAGGTGTTCATTTAGCTGCTCATTAGGAATCTGCCACTGAGCAACTGCTAAACAGATAGACAGATTCTTTGGAGGTAAAAAAAAAAAAATGCAAGAAGACTATTTTTCAATCACTTGAGTATAGTACAAAAGTTTGTTAAGGCTTTACCTGATGGAACATTTGCATTAGGCATTGCAAAGCTTGCAGAGTTAAGGACTTGGTCATAAGGATTCTGAGTCTGTGCAGCTGCAGAAAAAGAGAGACAGAAGAAAGTCTTTGGAGGTAAGATAAATGCAAGAAGACTAATTTTCAATCACCGAGTAAATGGTATCAAAGTTTGTTAAGGCTTTACCTGATATACCATTTGCATAAGGCATTGCAAAGCTTGCAGGATTGAGGACTTGATCTTGGTGAGCATAAGTACTCTGAGACTGAGCAACTGCAAGAAAAATAGATAACAAAAGGAAGTCTTTGGAAGTACAAAAAAAATTGCAAGAAAATCTAAATTTCAAACACTGAGTAAAGTATAGTACCAAAGTTTGTAAGGCTTTCACCTGATATACCATTTGCATAAGGCATAGCTAAGCTTGCAGAACCCATCTTTCTCTTGGAAGCTACACAAGAGGAAGAAATTTCAGAAAACAACACCAATTTTATAAAACAAGTGTTGTACTTTAGATGTTGTTTTTACCTAAGGTCTCCAAAACATGAATCCTTTCAGGGTGTTTTTGACGAAGAAGAGACCTAACTGAAGCTGCAGAAAGACAAAAAAAAACATAACCAAATCTAAGTAGATGATACAATAAAGATGAGTGTGTGTGTTGGTGTTAAACGTACTTGAAGCATCAGAGATATCAAGAAGTCCATTCTCGAACATCAGAACAGCTTGCTTAGTCAGCAAATCATTAACCGTCTTCAGATGAAGAGCCGTTTTGCGTCTCAAGTCGAAGTTAACGAAGAAAACTGGATTCTGTTTCAGAAGCTGCTCCCAAACTAAAAAAACAAGAAAATAAAAATCAAAACTTTATGGAGAAACCCATTGAAAGTAATAAACTTTTACCTAAGTGTGTGAGAGTTTTGCTAATCTGGTGATTCTTCTCAAGATAGTTTGCGGTTCTTTCCAAGCTCATGTAGTTTTGAAGACAGAGCTCAATCTTGTTCCTCACCTGAAAACAGAGCAACAATAACAGAGTATGGAAACAGAGTATGTAAAAACAGAGTTAGGTCACGAGGGTTTGTGATCATTACGTAGTAGGAGACTTCTGAGTAGCTGGAGAGAGAATCTGGGGGAGGTGGTTTTTCCATAACTTTGGAGGAAAGCTGACGGAAAAAAAAAAAGATTATCTCTTTTGACTTAAATAAAAGATTCTTCCGTACGGATACAGATTCAAGAGTACATAAGGAAATATATCTAAACGACGTCGTCGTTTACAGAGTGGAAAACAGAGCAAAATAAAAATAAAATTAACAGGGGAGAAATTCGTGCAGCTGGCGAAAGTGATGAGTTTCCATGGAGAAGAAAATACCTAAAACTTTTCTCGAGAATAGTTGTTTCAGCTCAGGGAAAAGAATTCATCAAGAGGCCATCTCTCTTTTCACCAGTATCTGAAGAATATTTAAAGCCTAAGTTTTAGGCTTTTAGCCATCCTATATATAACTCTATTTGCTAGTATGTTTTATGGAATCGGGAACCGTAAAAATTATTTTCTAATAGATATTACAAAGAGGGTAAGTAATGGAATCATATGTCCAAATATATATAAGATTAAGTATAATATAATTTTATAAAATTTCTGATTAAAAATTATAATAATTTTATATCAGTTCATCGAAATTCATATTATAACTATAAAACAACTAACAAACTAAGTTTGTAAAAATTATCCAGTTAACCAAATTAATTATTTTGATAGTAAGAAGTATCTGAGAAATAGATTTTCATAATACACAACTTAAAGCAATTCCATCTATTAACACTCACTCGTTGAGTATCTAATTGTAACATCCCGAAATCTGATATACGGAAAGGCTTAAGAGAATTGATTTGACTACCTATGTCACCAAAGTGCACTTACCTTTTCGGGAGCACATCCAGAGAGAACTCCAGAGTTAAGCGTGCTTGAGCTGGAGTAGTTAAAGGATGGGTGACCTATCGGGAAGTGATTTGCGATACCGTGTAAGTGAGGCCAAAGCACGGGGAAAGGTCATGTGNTACCTATGTCACCAAAGTGCACTTACCTTTTCGGGAGCACATCCAGAGAGAACTCCAGAGTTAAGCGTGCTTGAGCTGGAGTAGTTAAAGGATGGGTGACCTATCGGGAAGTGATTTGCGATACCGTGTAAGTGAGGCCAAAGCACGGGGAAAGGTCATGTGGTGATTGCAGGGTCAGTAAACATGACTCTAGAGCCTTAGAAAATTAACGGACCAACCGTTGGAACGGGATGGGGCCCACGGGCCGAGAGAGCGGGTGTGGGTGGCTCATTAGCCGTGGGCGGTCGGGGCGTTACACTAATTTTGTTTTATAAAAATTTAAGAGAGAAATAAGAAAAATATTTTATTTAAAATCTTATGAGATATTCTTAAATCTCTATCATTTCATTAAAATAAATCATAAACCTTATTTTTTTAATATTTGAACAATGAGGATGATCTTACATCTAACATGTTAGAAAACAACAGTTGAGGAAGAAGAACAAGAAGAAGTCAAGAGGCCATCTCCTTTGCACTAAGGAATTATGATTCATAAGAAAATAATAGATAACTAGAAACCCTACGGATTTAGTAAATAACGAACTATGTGGAGTCAAGAATCAGTTATAATAGGTCCCATTGAATATTCTCTTTTAAATTTATTTATCTTTTCTGTCCACTTAATAAGTATCAAAAGACTGTAATTAATTTGGATTAACAAAATTAACGGCTACGATTAGATTAATATGACGTAGCATTGACAGTTCCAACAGCTTTTTAGATACAGTACATGAGTATATCTATAAGAAAACGGTAAATATTCTGGGTTTATAAGATGACCACAAATTTAAATGTTTTAATTTTGACTTTGCACTACGATTTTCACGCATAAATTCAGATGTACCGTACATCTTATACAGCATCCATATTGGGCAATAATCTATTGAATGTTCATATAATAAAAAAAAAATAAGAATAGTTAACAACCATTACTATCATCATTATAATGTAATTATTATCTACTTTAAAACACTAAACAGTAGCTCTTTTGTTTGTTTAAAACTACACTTTAGATCACTCAGAAGTCGCAACACATAGCTGGACTGCTATCCCCCATATATTAAAGGAGAAGCATTACAACATTGTTTTGTAGCCACGTGTCATCACCACAATCATTCTTAGAATCCTTAGAAAAATATGTTGGTCTATCTAAATATATAATAAGCTTTTTATTAAACTAATCATAAATGACTTATTAATTTTTTTTCCTTATTTCCTTAAATAAAAAATAACGGAATTGCCAAATATGATTAAAGAATATATGACATTTAATGATTTTCAATAATAAAAATTTGATAAAAATTAGTGTACTTTTAAATTTTAACTTATTAAAATAAATTAAACAACCACATTAACTATATAATAAAAATTTTATTTTTTCGTATATGCTATACTTTGAATTTTTTTAAATGACTATAAATGACTAAAGTTGTTAAAAAGTCTCACTAAAATTTTTGTGATCCATGGTTAAATTTTTATAACAAAATAGAAATGATTACAAAATTATATAAGTAAAAATGTCTCATTTAATATATATATATTCTTCAAAATAAATTATGTACCAAAAAAAAAAAAATATATATATATATATATATATATATATATATATGTATTTTAATTTCTAATGTGCTTTGATTTTTTTTGATAAAAATTTGAATAAAATATTTAAAACTTAATATTTAGTTTTAAACTTTGCATATTTTTAAAAAAATTATAAATTACTAAGAAATGGTAAACATCCCACACAAAAAAATTTGTTATCAGTGATTTAAAATTTTTATTGTAAAAATATAAAAATGAACAAAAAAATAATATGAGTATAAACTATAATTTAACGAATATCAATATTAAAAATGTATTATATTTCTACGATAATATCATTTAAACTTAATTATATATGATCTAAAATAAAAAAAAAAATTTTTTATTGTTTTCTTAAATAAAAGTAACGGAATTGCCAAATATGGTTAAAGAATATATGACAATTAATGATTTTTAATAATAAAGATTTGATAAAAATTAGTGTAACTTTAAAATTTGAACTTATTAAAAAAAATTAAACAACTACATTAACTATATAATAAAAATTTAGATTTTTTCGTATTTGCTATACTTTGAATTTTTTAAAACGACAATAAATGACTAAAGTTGTTAAAAATTCTCACATTAAAATTTTTGTGATCCATGGTTAAACTTTATAGAAAATATAAATGATTAAAAAATTATATAAGTAAAAAGTCTCATTTAATATATATGTATATATATATATATATATATTGTTCAAAATAAATTATGTAACATATAAAAATATATATGTATCTTAATTCTACTTTGCTTTGATTTTTTTTGATAAAAATTTTGAACAAATATTGACAACTTAATATTTAGTTTTAAACTTTGCATAATGTTTTAAAATTATAAATTAATAAAAAATGATAAACATCCCACACAAAAAAATTTTTGTAATAAAAATATAAGAGTGAACAAAAAAATAATATGAGTATAAACTATAATTTAACCGATATCAATATTAAAATGTATTATATTTCTACAATAATACATTTAAACTTAATTGTATATCATATAAAATAGAAAAAAAATCAGCTTAAATTAATAAAAAATATTTATATGTTTACACCAATTTAATTATATAGGTAATAGTTACTAAATTTTTAATTATAAATATATCCCTTATATATATAAGTAAAAGAGAACCATTGTAATAAATGTGTTCACACCATAATTGACATATGTCGGTTTCACAATCATTTGACAATAAATACGTTTACACACTAATTCTTTAAATTCATTATTTAATGTATTTATACATTATTTTTTAATTAATTTATTTTTCTTACATTTTTAGCTTTTGTATTAATAAATTAAAACTTTCTACGTGAAACTAATGACTACTATTTTTATTATAAAAAATACAAAATCATTAAAATTCGCATCAACTAAAGTGTTGCGATGAAAATGTTTTTAGATATTGAAACTTTCGTATCTTTCCGAAGTTGGTCATGGTTGAGGCTTCAGTACACAATAACAACAAATAAGGTGATCGATTATGAATTAAAGAAGCTGAGGTGAAAAACACTACACGTAAAGTCGGATCTTTAATTTAGTCAAATATTAACATTTTTATAAAATTTTCATATCAGACCAAGAATTAGAAACAAAATCAAATTGGTAAAAAAAAAATCAGAAATCAGAAAAGCTTTAAAAAGAAATAAAAATCACAAAATCGATTAAAAACATAATTGAGGTACCAAGTGAAGATGTCACTTTATAATATATTTTATTTTTATTTTTACGGGTACAATTTGATTTTCTTCATATGAAAAAATGTTATTAATTTCTAGGTTTGTTTTATTTTTACTTAATTTTATTTAAGAATTTACTATCATATGTTATTTTGAACAAAAATGTTTTAAATCTTAATTAACAGTATATTCCTATATTTATCATAACATTTATATACTTTTACATATACATACATGTACACATTAACATGAGCGACTATATAACTAAATATTCACCACAAGTGAGAATTTTAATTCATATTGAAGTTGAATTTTTTTTTTAATGTTTTCTTTTAAAATCGCTCAAATTTTAGTGAAATGTTTTATGTTAATAATTTTATTTCCTTTTATTAAATATTATTTAGATTTTATTTGATTTTTCAAATATATATATATATATATATATATATATATGTATTTTAATTTCTAATGTGCTTTGATTTTTTTTGATAAAAATTTTGAATAAAATATTGAAAACTTAATATTTAGTTTTAAACTTTGCATATTTTAAAAAAAATTATAAATTACTAAAAATGGTAAACATCCCACACAAAAAAATTTGTTATCAGTGATTTAAAATTTTTATTGTAAAAATATAAAAATGAACAAAAAAATAATATGAGTATAAACTATAATTTAAAGAATATCAATATTAAAAACGTATTATATTTCTACGATAATATTATTTAAACTTAATTATATATGATATAAAATAAAAAAAATAATTTTTTATTGTTTTCTTAAATAAAAGTAACGGAATTACCAAATATGGTTAAAGAATATATGACAATTAATGATTTTTAATAATAAAGATTTGATAAAAATTAGTGTAACTTTAAAATTTTAACTTATTATAAAAAATTAAACAACTACATTAACTATATAATAAAAATTTAGATTTTTTCGTATTTGCTATACTTTGAATTTTTTGCTTTGATTTTTTTTGATAAAACTTTTGAACAAATATTGACAACTTATTATTTAGTTTTAAACTTTGCATAATGTTTTAAAATTATAAATTAATAAAAAATGATAAACATCTCACACAAAAAATTTTTTGTAATAAAAATATAAGAGTGAACAAAAAAATAATATGAGTATAAACTATAATTTAACCGATATCAATATTAAAATGTATTATATTTCTACAATAATACATTTAAACTTAATTGTATATCATATAAAATAGAAAAAAATCAGCTTAAATTAATAAAAAATATTTATATGTTTACACCAATTTAATTATATAGGTAATAGTTACTAAATTTTTAATTATAAATATATCCCTTATATATATAAGTAAAAGAGAACCATTGTAATAAATGTGTTCACACCATAATTGACATGTGTCGGTTTCACAATCATTTGACAATAAATACGTTTACACACTAATTCTTTAAATTCATTATTTAATGTATTTATACATTATTTTTAATTAATTTTTTTTCTTACATTTTTAGCTTTTGTATTAATAAATTAAAACTTTCTACGTGAAACTAATGACTACTATTTTTATTATAAAAAAATACAAAATCATTAAAATTCGCATCAACTAAAGTGTTGCGATGAAAATGTTTTTAGATATTGAAACTTTCGTACCTTGCCGAAGTTGGTCATGGTTGAGGCTTCGGTACACAATAACAACAAATAAGGTGATCGATTATGAATTAAAGAAGCTGAGGTGAAAAACACTACACGTAAAGTCGGATCTTTAATTTAGTCAAATATTAACATTTTTATAAAATTTTCATATCAGACCAAGAATTAGAAAAAAAATCAAATTGGTAAAAAAAAATCAGAAATCAGAAAAGCTTTAAAAAGAAATAAAAATCACAAAATCGATTAAAAACATAATTGAGGTACCAAGTGAAGATGTCACTTTATAATATATTTTATTTTTATTTTTACGGGTACAGTTTGATTTTCTTCATATGAAAAAATGTTATTAATTTCTAGGTTTGTTTTATTTTTACTTAATTTTATTTAAGAATTTACTATCATATGTTATTTTGAACAAAAATGTTTTAAATCTTGATTAACGGTATATTCCTATATTTATCATAACATTTATATACTTTTACATATACATACATGTACACATTAACATGAGCGACTATATAACTAAATATTCACCACAAGTGAGAATTTTAATTCATATTGAAGTTGAATTTTTTTAATGTTTTCTTTTTATATCGCTCAAATTTTAGTGAAATATTTTATGTTAATAATTTTATTTCCTTTTTTCAAATATTATTTAGATTTTATTTGATTTTACATGTCTTTAGAAATTATAATAGGAAACTATTAGTTCGACATCAAAAATATCTAAAATTTATATAAAACGAAACCAAACAAATAACAATAATTTTGGTTATCATCGAAAAAATCAAAAACATCAAACATTTACACCAAACAAACCAAAATAAATATAGATTTAGAATGATAGTTATATTTTAGAAGATTAAAAAAACAACGTAAAACTAAACTAATATTCATGTTAAACAGACATAATATCATTTTATCATAAAAGTAACAAAAGTAATAATCTCATTCCGCGCAAGGCGCGGGTTATTACCTAGTGTATAATGGTACTACACTAGCCTATAAAACCCTTACATAAACTAGACAAAAGCTTCATAAGTCTCATATAGCCTGAAAACAAATCATAGTCTCAATAAAACAGGAAAAAAATTAGTCAGTAAATTTTATTTACTATTGATATTGTTTTGACACCAGAAAACTAAGAAACATAAAACAAAACTGGGAATATACATATACTGATTTTTTCATAATGAACAATACTAAATAATAACCATTACCATTACCATCATAATCTACATACATCTCTCCTCTTCATTCTCTATAGCAACCCTGTATTTACCAAAAGAAGCATACCTACAACAAATTAACCTATGGAAAGAAACTCTGAAGCAAAGTTTTTTTTTATTGAAACTTCTGCAGGACACCGAATGAAAGAAAGGGTCAGACCAAGGTTGTGATATCATTGTATTTAGGACGTGATCGATCAGTAGATATCACTTCTTCCATTGCTTTCCTCTTATTATTGCTCAATATTGGTTCTTGTTCAAGTTTTTGATGTAGAGGCAAGATTTCAATCACGGATGGTTCTTTTGCTTCTATCTCTTGATTCAAAACTGCATTCTCTTCTTTTGCTGGTTTCTCGCTTTCTTTCTTCAATTTGGTTTTCATCATATGAGGTTTCAACTTGGTAAGATCAGCCAACTTTACTGGCTTCAAGAAGAACTCCTCAGCTCCTTCTTCTAGACATCTGTTGTTCAAATATTCAGAGCATTATCTACATAGTTAGTGGTTTTATAGGTCCAAAGTTAAAGACTTGTGTGTCAAGTTATATTAATGCCAACTCACAAAATCAATAAGATTCAAAATTTTAATTTTAAAGAAACAGATGCTTACCTGGAGATTCTAGCAGGAACGTTCTCAGATGACATTATCACAACGGGAATGCTTTTAAATGCTGCTGATTCCTACACAATCATAAAAATGTTCTGTAAATTTCTCAGGAAATCAAATTTTAATTATAAAGATTTAGTTTAACATATACCTTAACTCTCTTGAGCAAATCATAACCAGTCATACCAGGCATGCAGTAATCTGTAATTATAAGATTTATTTCAACTTCCTGCACAAAGCCACCAACAAACTTCAATACTATGAATCTTGAAAGAAACTCAGTTGACTTATGAATAAATGTAACAAAGTAAAAAACCTGAGCCTGATGAGTTAAGGGTGATGAAGAAGGTGCACTTTGGTCCTCACTCTCATTGCTTTCTCTCAAACCCAGAAACTCTAGAGCTTTAGTGCCTGAATCAACTGTAGTTACTGCATATATACAAACAAAATAACTAATTTTTAGAATCTTCTTTCTCTATATATCTTTCTCAAATAACAAAACTGAATGTTTTATTTTATTTATACCTTGGCATGAAGACTTTTGCAGCAACCTTTCTATCATTTTCCGATCAAAGAGACTATCATCAACAGCCAAAACATGGAACTGTGACTCTCTTACCATCCCCATATGCAAGTTTTCAGCTTCTTATTTTTTTCGTTTTCCTTCTCTTATAAGATTCTATATGCTCCTTTTTTATATGGAAATGTGGAGAATTGTCACTGAGAGTAAGAGAGAAGACAGAGAGACTTAGAGGAAATAAAACTAAGATTGGATCTAGCTTTGAGTTACGGACTAAGCAAGATTAAAGTAATGTTCTAAGAAGACAACGAGAGAGTAATTAAAGAAACTTTGGTAATGGAGAAAAATAATGAAAAGAAATCTATATGAAGATTTTAAAGGATTTGTTTTATCCACCGAAGACTTTGTAGGATTAAGATAAGAAGATAAGGGGTCTGATTAACATATATATTATCACAATCACATGCATTGTCATTTTAGCTCCCAGAGATAGTTGTTTTAGACTATAAATCAAAAAAAAAAAGGAACGACCAACCAAATGTTTTAGCTAAACAAAACAATCTAGTAGTCTGGCTGTTGGTAAATTACTTTTCCATTACTAATTAAACGTTTGAAAACCAAAATGTATTCAGGAGAACGAAGTATGCAAATATAATGTATATAGATTAGCCATCTACCCTTTTTATTATCATTATGGCTATGTATGTCTATCATTTTTGATAAGATTCGGTTTTGTTAGAGAAAATATTTTTCTTCTTGACTGCAAAAGATTTTCTTCGGACCACATAGATTAGAAGAATCACAGTCACTATTTGTATTTTGCATTTTAGTGTTGTGGACTCGGTGGATTCATGCAACTCGATGTGACGTTTCATGTTGCGTATCATTTAGTTATTGGATGTAATTTTTTATGTTAATTTTTTTATATCACTTTCTTTTTTGGGTCAAAAATTTCACTTTATTTTTAAAGGCTTTGAAAGTCTTTATTGGCTCAGTCTTTATCTGCATCATATAATTTTGTTTTTTGACTAAAACTGCATCATATAATCGCATACAAATGTAGGTCCAACTGGTAACATAAAAACATGTATGCACTCTCATCAAAATATAATCAACTTGTTTAATTATTTTATGACAAAATAAAATATTACATCGCACTGAAGGCCATAAGAATTTTATAAGTGGTATACCGTAGCAGAATAATTCTTCAATTATTATAAATTCTTACTTTTAGTATAAATTGTAAATTTATGACCTAAATGTGAAATGGCGGTGGCGCTTCTCGTATGCATGCCAGTAAGATTCGTTTGTAATGTGAAACGGTTGAGTTATGCTGTAGAGCCAAAGACATGGCAATGCTCACTTGATTATCTGCCAAGGATTTGCCTACCATGGCCATGCCCATCATCATCATTATCTTCGTAGCATCATCTGTATCTGGACGACACGTATCGAAAGCATGGTAGACACATGAAAAGTCCTCCAATAACCATCCCCTCTTATTGTTCTAGTGGGTTCCATATGGTCCTCGTTTCAACCATTTTTCTTTTTCTAGTTTGTCCACGGTATGATCACTTTAGTTGATAGTTTCATTTTTATTTGTGTTACTGTTGGAAAGGAGATTTACATTATAAATATGAAATAATTTAAGTAATATATAAATAATTGGATCGTGGAAACCCTTAGTCCAATAGTTTGATTGTGGATTCAATAATATGTTTTCACACCGGCATATCCATGTTTCAATTCTCAAATAAAACAATTTATTAAATAATTATATAAACTATGGAAAAAAGGTTTACAAAAGATTTTTAATATGGTGCAAGTAATCCGGTGAGACATTATTGACCAAAAAACAATACGATCTTTGTTGAGAAATGATGGTTGGGACATATCCGGAAATGGACCAGACCACATCAGTCTCACTTCAGTCCAAGACCAGGCGACAAGCACCTTATCCTTATCCATACCAGGCGGCCAAGACTTGTCATTATCCTCCCTTGTATTTATCCATATGTTGTAGTTATCCTAATCATTATAGGATTAGGATAATCATCCCCTTTA